ACCATTGACCACGCGTCCTCGAGAGGACGGAGCATTGTTCCCACAGGACCGATCACCGATGGCCAATCGTTTCTTTCTACCTCGCCAAAGGTGGCTCAAACATGTCTTCCCTAGTCTGTCTCCTAACGATATCCCATCCCGCCTTTTCAATCCACCTTCTATGCCCCAGTACAGCTACCGTCCTTTCCTCTCTATTCCATGCCTCAAACATTTCCCTGTACGTCCCATCTATTTTTCCCAGCTCAGTCAAGTACACTTCCCTCTCCTTCTTGTTCAACGGACATTCCGCAACTACGTGAACATGGTCTTCGCGTTCGAAGCCGCAATCGCATTTGAACTTGTCGTCTTCGTCGTCTACCGTCCTATGTCTTCGTCAACGTTCTCGAAGGCCTATGTCCCCGGTCCTGAATTTGACCTTAAGCTTTGTTCCTGCATCCATTGGTCCATGTAGGTAATCCTTGAACCCTATTCCTTCCTTCAATATTCCCCGGCCTATCTATCCTGTCGACATAACTCCCCGATCGTGTTCAGCTCAGCGTGTGGGGGGTATTCAGAGGGCGGCCGGTCTGCGGCTCGCTCGGTGTTGCGTATTCGGTTATCGAACGGGGGAAGGGGTGAAAATGCTTGGTCTTGTTACAACGACTCGTGCAGTCGGGAGGCCTTTTGCGAGGAGACGTACGTACCGCGCGAGGATGTTCTCTGGCCTTTACTTGCACGTGACGGGCGTACAAAGATGAAAGGGCTAGCTATTCCTCCTGTGGTTGGGGTTGAGCCAGACTTGCGTGTGACGGAGGCTGCACTCTCGTTCGTTGCTCGGCGTTTTTTTATTGTTGTTGGTGGAACCGTCGCCCTTTTTTCAATTTGCCGCTTTCCCTGTCATCTACCACTCGATATATCTCTATGGCATGTAGACCTTCGCCGTTTTCGCGTAGGCAGGGTTGGATAAGTAGGGGTCGCATGCGGGATAAGGCAGGTTCTGTCTTGTCCCTCGACACGGCGGTGTTGGCACTCGTATTGGTGCGGCGGCAGCGACGGAGCCCTGCAGGAGGACGGCCGGAAGAAAAGAAGAGCCTTCGAATATCTCAAGCGCGTCTACCTCTGCTTCCGGCCGATAGAAGATCCTTGTTGTTTTCAATCAAGAAAGAACTGCATACCTCCCAATGAAGGGTGTCGTTTTCAGTTCGGGAATGGGAATGGAGTCTCTTCGGCGCTAGAATAGCTGGTGCGACTCGTTCCGGTCTACGCGCTTAGTCCAGTCTGCGATCTCTCTGACTCGGCTTGGTGTGTTGGCGGGCTGCACGCGCAGCAGGCCGAAAAGAGCGTGGTGATTTCAAGAGCTATCGCTTTCGCGTGTATCGGTGCTACCCATGAAGGCAGTTGAGCCTTGCCCTACAAGAGTAGCCTTAATCGGCGGTGTAACGCTCTCCCTGCGTCATCCCTCGTCCCTATTTAATGCAATACACAACAGGCACATCGGATCAACCGGTCAGTGCCAGGACCCTGGACGAGTGTTCAAGGGCAAGAAGATGCCCGGGCGGATGGGGACGGACAGGGTCACGGTTCAAAACCTCAAGATCCTTAAGGTATTCCCCTCCTGGCTACTTTTCCCGAACGCGACCACTTCCTTGTTGCTGTGTTTGCTTGGTTCTCTTGTTTTCTCGTGCACATCCGTACGGTCCCCAAATGGTATCTTCTTGCTACATGCGCCAACACTGTCACGTTGAAGCATATTGCTTGTTTCACGGAATCTATCTCCTGTACCGAGAAGCTCTATAGGGGGATGGTGCCAGCAAACCCCCGGCAGCACGAACCACATGGCCCGGTATTGATGCCCAAGTGTCGCATGGTCTGACTTCATTCCTCCTCTCGAGAACTTTGGGAGCGGGACATCCCGGATTCGTTTTTCCTAAACGTGTGTTGATTGTTTTGTTGTTTTCTTCTCCCGCCGCCCGCACACGCACAGATCGATCCGGCGCGAGAGCTCCTGTTCGTCAGGGGCCACGTGCCGGGTCAAAACGGTGGCTTCGTCCGCGTCACCGACGCTATCAAGTGAGCCAGGCAGCCACCCGCACGTAGTAGGCCATGCGACCGCTGTTTTTTTCTGCGTTTGGCTACACACATTGATATCTGTCCGTTGTCTCTCGCGTTGTGCGTGTGTCGTGTCCTGTCCTTTCACATTCCTGTCGAGGGTAGAAGTAGGACTGCCGTTCGCTTTTCGAGCAACAAACGCCCTTCTTCCTCTCTCCGTGCCAACAACGCTGTCCTCTGCCGCTGCTCGCTGTGTTTTTTTTTCTTTTCGACGACCGCAGGGGCGCTGCGTTCCCGTCGGACCCTCCTTTCCCCTCCTTCGTGGCGGCGGCGGAAGGAGACGGGGACGACTCGTCCCTGCAGGAGATTTGGTGCCCGCAGGGGGAAGAGGACCCACTGGAAATTATTGACGAAGACTGAGTTTGGTCTTGTCTCTCTTGTGTATGTGTGTGTATTTTTTGTGGGCACCGATTTTTTTTTTGAGTGAGAGAAAAGGAGTGGAAACACGAAGACAGACCCGTTCTGATTAGGAGATGTGAGAGGAGAGAAGGCAATTGGAAGTTGTTACTGCAGGGTTGATTGCGGGACAAGGGGACGGGTCCGGTGAAAGGTCGAGTTCTACCTTGACCAGCAGTGACGGTGTTTCTGTAGTCGATTCCCACGGCGGTTGCACAGTAGTCGAAAGCATGTAGTCTTGTGTAGGCGACACGGTAGCACCCCTTTCCACGAAGGTTTAGGATTGCTTGTCTGCACTCTGCAGGGCCTCCCGTACGACAGGGGGGGCCGCCACAATCTGACTCCGAGATAATTCCCTTCGAGCACCAATGTCAAGGTTTGCTAGAGAGATCAATCCACTGCATGTTTCACCGCAGCACTTGAAGCTTACGGAGGGCAGACGCGGTGCAAATAATATTCGCATAGCTTTTGTGCATGGTCGTTGAACGTCTCGAATCTTCCTTCTCGGGGCGGTTGCGGGGTTTGGGGGGAAGGGTGCCAATCAACTGTATGGCAATCCTGTGTTTCAAGAACTTGGAGGACGGGTGGGTCAAACCACACGTGTCCATCATCTACCTTGGTAGACACAACCGGCGGGTTCCGCGGTAAAGCCGAATCGCTCAGTGTTCGGCGGAAAAAAACGTGCAAAAAAAACATTTCACAGATCGCGCTAAAATGCCCAAAAACGAAATTTAAAAAATACGGCAACCAAACAAAAAGTTCACCTTGGCCGAGATTTTGTTTCGACGCATTGCCGAACTTTTTTCATTTTGCCTTCATCGGAAATCGATTCCGCTTGGTCGAGTTAGGGAGGATACAGCCAATCAGAGAGTTGGTCTGACCAAAAGTGGTCGCGCTGGCTGGTGATGAAAAATCTCAAGATTTCTGAGGACGCTCATGAAAGAGACAGTTTTGGGTAGCTGTCGGTCGAATATACAGCCAACATGCGATATTATGATGATGGATTCGTGACCTCCACCCCAAAATTACCCTGATATGAAGCTTAGAGAGGTTCAATCAACCCACGAAACGTCTTCCGGGGGAGGGGATATTTCCGGCCATCCCCGCTTTCTTGCGAATCTTGGACAGCTGTATCACGACGGCATCGATCAGTGCGAAATTCTGACAACGGATTTGTGCCGAGTTCTCGGTTCTCGGGGGCTGCACGGAAACCCGAACCTTTGACAGTCCCGTTATCTGAAACGCCTAGTGGCCTGTTCGCTGGTTGTTCAGTGTTGTACGGGGTGACATATTCCCACCTCCAACCCCAGTGCGCTGAAAATCCAGTCTAGACTAGACTAAGTGGAAAGAGCGCATTGGTTCCGCCGGCGTCACTGAACGTTCTCATGTCCGAGGACTTCAACATGTACATGTCATGAGTTCCCGTCGCAAAGAGTCCTTTTTACAGTTCAGCAAGACCACATGTATTCACCGCATTTTTGTCTCCAGCTGTGCCCGCACCGCCAACGGTAGTTGCCAGCCATTGTCATCGTCTAATTAGCAAAGCAAGCGGCCGGCGAGAGGCGCGGGGAGCGACGGAAAGCAGCAGCAATGTTGCGCGAAGAACGCTGACACAAACACACGAACAACGAACAAGCGGCGGTGCTCGGCGAAGGAGAGAGGATAACAAACAGGTGTGCACAATCGATTGCAACAGCCACCAGACTGCTATGTAACAGAGTATCAACGGGCAAGTCTTTCAAGCTACCAAAGCAATGATTGTGCCGTCGACGTTTTCTCTGCAACTTCCTTGCCAAGCTATTCGGCTATGGAGGCGAACGTGACGGAGCTATGGCGGATTGTTGAGTCGCTGCAGGTGGAGCTCGACTTGCTCAGGGCGAACTCAACGCCGTCCATCGCTGGCTCAGCCACTGATCAGCTCGATGCGCTACGGGCGGAGTTCGACTCAATGGAGACGGACATGAACGTGCTGTGGCTCATGGTGGGGTCCATTCTGGTTGTGTGTGAGTATCATGGAACCCATCCAACATGTTGTTTCAGAGATGTGGAGGTTGTACATGTTGTCTACTACTGCAAGCAGATGCGCCCCAGGCGCGAGTGCTCAACGTGTCACCTCTCTTATTATGGAGGGATCAACGGTGCGATCCCCAGGCCCATTGAATCCTACCCGGTGAACTAGCGCGACTTCTGAAGTGAAATGCTCGGTGCAGTCTGAGAACCAAACTGCAAGCAAGATGAACTTACAACTAACCAAGTCATAGCGGAGGTCCGCGCCGCGTTAGCTTGGTTGTGGCATATCAATCGGTCGAGGTTGCCATGCCATTGCTCAAGCACCGCCAAAACATGTTGATTTGATTTGCCAAGTGCGTCCGTTCTTCCGCTCGCTAACTCTCCAAACTGGAATGTCTCTGCTGCTGTTTGCTTGTCGCTCGACTCCCTTGCAGTCATGCAAGCAGGATTCGCCATGCTTGAGGCCGGCTCTGTTTGCGAAACACACGTAAAAAGCATATTGGTCAAGGTTAGTGTAAAGTCGTTGCGTAACTTCGTCGATTTCTTCGTCGACTTCTTCGTACAGCATCAGAGAACCTGTTTCGCTGTAGAATTTCTGCCGTCGCAATCAGGAAATAACATGACTTCTGTCATGCCGTCGCCTTCTTGTGCGAACGTACTTCCCGAGTTACCAAAAGCTTTACAATGATGTTTTCAAATTACTCGCGAGATCCAGGCGTACACAAGGTCGCGGATACGTCGGTGTCTCGCCATTCCCCTCTGACCGTGGAAGTATCTAGGTTTCGATGGAGCTCCACCTGTGCTTCAACTTTTCCGGCTGTCTTGGTGCCTTGAAGTTCCTCGTGTGAAAGGTGTTCATTCTGGGATCATGTCCCAGATGGAAAGGCTGACCATTCTCTCCTACATGCATAGTGAGACTGACAGACCCTTGAAGGCGCGCAACGCGATTTTACGTACGCTCCTAGCCCATCTCGGGGTGTCGCAACTCACGAGCGTTCGATCAGAATTGACACGCAACGGACGCGTTGGCAGTACGTAGGTCTCACCAACATAGTTGCAGGCCTAGCCTCGCGGACTCCTTGTTCGTAGGGAGGTGTCGCCGATTGGTCCCCAGGGGTGATAATCTGTAGTGATACCTACTGTAGCTCTACCGTTCACTACCAGTAAAATTCTCGAGTTATTCGTGTGGGAAGCTCTTGCCATAGTTTCTGTTGAAGATGTCCAGCCACTACCTTGCTCGTGCGGATGGGGGCGGGCAGTAGCGAACGTTCCTGCAAAAGACACACCGTCTCACCATGGAAAAATCTTGCAACTGTTCTGTTGTTCTTCTTGAAGAACCTTCTGGATCTGGCCGTAGCTGCTGTGATGTGGTGGTCGATCGGGTGGGGGATCGCCTTCGGTGAGGAGACCGAAGATGGCGAGTTTAACCAGTTTGCCGGGCCTGTATCGTTCTTCTTGCGAGATGGGGGATTCATCGACGAATCTGGGAACTACGGCACCACCGAAGGGTACACCTGGGCACTGTGGCTTTTCCAGGTAATTAGACTACAGGCATACTTTTTTTTTTCTCCCCGTGAAGACGGTACAAGACATTCATGAGTTTTGTTCAACGTATATTTCTGATGGGTGGTGGACACGTTTCGAGGCGATTGTCGGCCATGTGTTTGATATAAAGGTACGCGTAAGTCGCACACCCGATCCGGTGGCACCGAAATCAATCTCTTGTACGTGGTTCACAATGAGACGCTGAATGTATTTGTGGGAGACGAGACATGAGAAGGAAGCGGGCACCGTAGAGAAGCAGAGGTTTGGGGTATCGTCCTCGACGGCGACGTGTACCACCGGCGGCGCACCTTGTCCTAGTTAGAACACGTTTGACTAACACCTGGCACTTCGTGCGTTGGCACTGTGCTGCTGCTGCTGCTGCTGCTGCTGCTGCTGCTGCTGCTATTGCTGTTGTTCGTGGGTCTGGCCTTCGGGAACGAACAGTGGAGCTTTTCGGGGGCAGCTGTGACAATGTGAGGAAGGGTGTGTCCTTTGCATCTTTCACGGGATTTCCGTTCGTGGCAGATCGCACTGTACAGAAGGAGAGGGAAGGCGGGCGTTGAATTTCATTTGTCTGCTGTACGCAAGCCCATCTTGAATCTACTTCCGTTGACAGGCTGGGGGCGATCGCGAAGTGGGAGCCGGAGTGTCTTTAAGTTTCTCCAATCGTGGTCATCAGCAGGCCGGCTGACATTGAGGGCGATATTCTGCATCCGTGGAGGAACCGTGGGCAACAGATTAGCATACACCGTACTAGGAGACGAGGTGGATCGTTTCGTTGAGTCGATGAAATTCCTTCGTTTCGCCCTTCTAAAACAGAGAATGGTCATACAATGTGCGATGTGCATTTCTTCCATTCACACGACCCCATACGGTTGAGCGCCCGTTACGCTTGCGGCTGATAGAACGAAGCGTTTCGCTCTTTTTCAACCTTCTGCCTTGCTATTGTGTAATGTATTTTCGGCCGCTATTATCTTGTCTGGCTTTCTCCAACACATCAGTGTCAGCGGTGCAGTGGGGCTACGAATCACGATGCCTGCATACGTCATGACAGCTCAGGTCATCGTTGGATTCATCTACCCCGTGGTGAGTGAAAAGGGGGATCCGAGAGTACTCTAGCAGAGGATTTCCTCCTTTGTTAGAAATAGCAGTATTGCAATGGAGCCGTCGCTCGTCCCAAATGGTCCAATGGTTCGAACATCACGTAAGTAATAGGTGAGCCAAGTGCAAGGGACTCCGCGGGTTGAGTAACCCCGCTCCCTCCCCCGCGATCTTACGAAAAGCGGAACCGTAACACCGCAAGGTGTGACTGTTTTTCTCTTGCCAGCGCGTGAATTCGGCATAATGTTCGTTTGACAGTTCTCTTGGTCGCCTTCTCAATGCAGTATTCCTCACTCATTCTTGAAAAGACTGTGAAAACTGACCGTGAGATGTACTCCAGCCGTTAGACCCTGCCATTGTACACACAGTCATGCATTCAAACTCGAGTCGTATTATTCAAGCGTCATCTTTACTATTCTGAAGGTCACTGAAGAGAGAGGCGCCTTTGAGGATAACATAAACTGCTGAATATTGGATGGGAATTTTGTTGATAGATCGGTGTGTATGGCACCTGCGGTTTACCCATTGTGCGGCGCTTGGTTGTTTAGAGTACATAGGTCTCGGCTTAACAGTTTCCTGAAAGAGCTGAAGCCTCGTGCTACACAACTGTTTGTTATAGGCTCAAGAATTCTGGCATTATTTTTCTAATCTTCTACGAGAAAAAATGATGAAGACCCGAGACAATATAGATCACATGTAGACGAACCGTACCTCCACTCTTGTGGGTCCTGCCCCTACGATGTCCCTATACGATACTCGAATTCACGACTCAGCCAATCCGGTACGAGAATAGCCTCTTCCAAGCTATCTGAAAACCAC